AATTAAATTCATCATCAGAATAATATTTACAAGCGCTACCAATATCATTCCACAGGTGGCTGTCGGGGTCAAGATCCATGTCAAAGTCATGCATTCTATGTTCTCTTAAATCATTGTTTTCCATAGTTAAATAATCCTGAGTAGTCCATGAATTATATACAACAAAAATATAATCTTCAATTGATGAACTGATTTAAGACAAAAAAACAAAACACTGGTGACCAAGACTCTTTGTGATAGTGTTTGATGTAATTGGCCCCTAGGTTATCAAAATGATTAACCTCTCCCTTTCCACAGGCGTGTTTCCTAAAGCATTTAAACATGCCACAGTGGAGCCGTTACTAAAGAAGACAGGCTTAGATCCAACTGATCTAAATCATTTTAGGCCGATCTCTAAACTTCCACTCTTGTCCAAGATCCTAGAGAAGGTAGTGTCTGAACAGCTCTCAGCTTTTCTGGATCAAAATGACATCCACGAGACATTTCAGTCTGGTTTTCGCCGACACCATTCCACGGAGACGGCCTTACTGAAAGTGTCCAGTGATATTATGATGGCAGCAGATTCTGGAGAGTGCACTGTTCTGGTTCTTCTGGATCTGTCCGCGGCGTTCGACACCGTCGACCACCAGATCCTCCTGCGAAGACTGAGGGATGGAGTGGGACTGTCGGGGTCAATGCTTAAATGGTTTGCTTCGTACTTATCTGGACGCAGTTTTAGTGTCGCAACAAACCAGATATGTTCTGAGTCGGCAGAGTTGTTGTGTGGTATCCCCCAAGGTTCCGTTTTGGGTCCGCTACTTTTCCTGTTGTACTTGACCCCCTTGGGAAAGATCGTCCGGAGATTTCCTGGCATCTCATTCCACATTTTTGCTGATGACATCCAGCTATACTGCTCTTTCAAGCCTACCGAGCTCCAGAGGCTAAACTCCTTGGTCCATTGCTTGGTCGAGATAAAACAATGGCTGAGTGACAACACTTTTCAGCTCAACACTGACAAAACAGAAACTCTGGTGATTGCCCCTGATGACCACATCCCAGGGATAAACCAGGGCCTCGGTGACTTAGGCCAGTCAGTTAAACTGAGCCTCAGAAACGTAGGTGTTATTTTTGATAAGGACATGTCGTTAGTGCAGCACTGTAAACAGCTGACCAGGAACTGCTTTTTTCAGCTGAGGAGAATCTCCAAAGTCAGGAAAATGGTTTCACAGAATTATTTGGAGGTGATTATTCATGCATTTGTGTCTTCGCGTTTAGACTGTTGTAATGCTCTGTTTTCATGTTTAAACAAGAAAGAACTGTCTCGCCTGCAGTTAGTGCAGAACTCTGCAGCGATAATCCTGACCCGCACCAGCAGGAGGTCGCACATCACCCCTGTCCTGAAAGCTCTTCATTGGCTGCCAGTGTCCTACAGGATACATTTTAAAATTCTGGTTTTAACCTTCAGAGCTTTGCACGGTCAGGCCCCGTCTTACATCAGTGACCTGATCCAGCCTTACACCCCAGCCAGGGCTCTGAGGTCTGTGGATCAGAACCTCCTGATGGTTCCACGCACTCGCTTCAAGACCAGAGGAGACAGGTCCTTCCAGGCTGTTGCTCCCAAGCTTTGGAACGTTCTCCCGCTCTCTCTGCGTTCTATTGAGTCTGTTGAGTGCTTCAAAAGTCAACTTAAAACCCATTTATTTGTTCAGGCTTTTGCGTAAGTTTGTCTTGCTGTATTCTTTTACATGGTTGTCTTGGCCTTTAAAAATGTGTATGTCTAATTTATATGTCTGTTTTTATTCTATGTGAAGCGCTTTGTGACCCTGGTCTGTGAGGGGCGCTATATAAATAAAGTTTACTTACTTACTTACTTACTTACTTAGAGGCTGAGGATGTTGGGGCGGATACTTCCATCTCCCTGGCCGAGGTCACCAAGGTGGTTGGCAGCCTCCTTGGTGGCAAGGCTCCGGGTGTGGATGAGATCCGTCCTGATTATCTAAAGTCTCTGGATGTTGTAGGACTGTCTTGGCTGACACGTCTCTGCAACATCGCGTGGCGATCAGGGGCGGTGCCAATGAAGTGGCAGACCGGGGTGGTGGTCCCTCTCTACAAGAAGGGGGACCGGAGGGTGTGTTCCAATTATCGTGGGATCACACTCCTCAGCCTCCCCGGTAAGGTCTACTCCAAGGTACTGGAGAGGAGGCTACGTCCGATGGTCGAATCTCGGATTCAGGAGGAGCAGTGTGGTTTTCGTCCCGGTCGCGGAACACTGGACCAGCTCTATACTCTCCATCGGATATCAATCAATCAATCAACGTTTATTTGTATAGCGCCTTTCCTACACAAGGCAACGCAAAGCGCTTCACATCCCCTATCACATCATGCATAAATCAAACACATTAATAGCACAAGATATATTAAAAACATTAAAAATAAAATCACAAAAATTAAAAACCTTTAAACATTAAAATCACAGATGGGACTAAAATCATAAATAGTCACAGTGCATTAAAAAGATTAAAGATAAAAACAAAGATGAAAAGATAAAATCATTCAGTTGTATATGCGCAGCTAAACAGAATTGTTTTGAGCCTAGATTTAAAGGATGCCAGAGTAGACGCCTGTCTCACATTCTCAGGAAGACGGTTCCAGACTCTAGCCGCATGAATCTGAAATGCAGTTTGCCCATGTCTAGTACCGACTCTGGGCACTAACAGGAGTCCAGTCCCTGTGCTCCTCAGAGTCCGGGTCGGTTCATATGGCACAAACATGTCATGGATGTACCTTGGCGCGAGACCATGGAGAGACTTGTACACAAGTAAAGCTGCTTTGAAGTCTATTCTCTGAGGAACAGGAAGCCAGTGCAGAGACCTGAGAACTGGACTAATGTGGTCGCACTTCCTAGTTCTGGTCAGGACTCGAGCTGCTGCATGTTGAATGTACTGCAGCTGTTTTACAGCCTGCTTGGAGAGACCTGTGAACAAGCCATTGCAATAGTCTAACCGACTGGAGACAAAAGCGTGTATAAGAGTCTCCAAGTCTGCCTTAGACACTATGTTTTTAATTTTAGCAATGTTTTTTAGGTGGTAATAAGCTGCTGATGTTACAGATTTTATGTGGCTTTTGAAATTTAAGTCTGAGTCCATTATCACTCCTAGATTTCTGACCTGATTTGAGGGTTGTAGAGAGAGAGCCTGGAGGTGACAAATAACGCTCTCTCTTTGTTTCTGGGGTCCGAAAACAATTATTTCAGTTTTGTCGGTGTTTAGTTGGAGAAAGTTATTTTGCATCCAATCACCGATTTGCTGGACACAGTGAAGGAGCGAGTCCACTGGTTCATACTCTCCTGCTGTCAGGGACACATAGACCTGAGTATCGTCAGCGTAATTGTGATAAGAGACATTATTACTGTGAATCAACTGACCTAGAGGCAACATGTAAATATTAAACAGAAGAGGACCCAGGATTGACCCCTGTGGCACTCCGCAGGTCAGGGCCAAGTGGTCTGAGGTACAGTTTTCGATCTCCACAAAAAACTTTCTGTCTTGTAAATAGGATACTCGAGGGTTCATGGGAGTTCGCCCAACCTGTCCACATCGTGTTCCTCGGGGTGTCCTTTGGGGGGTCCTCCGGGAGTACGGGGTCCGGGGTCCTCTGCTGAGGGCCGTCCGGTCCCTGTATGACCGGAGTCAGAGCTGTGTTCGAATTGCCGGCAGTAAGTCAGACCTGTTCCCGGTGCATGTTGGCCTCCGCCAAGGCTGCCCTTTGTCACCGGTTCTGTTCACTGTATTTATGGACAGAATTTCTAGGCGCAGCCAGGGGCCGGAGGGAGTCCGGTTCGGGAACCACAGGATTTCATCTCTGCTGTTTGCGGATGATGTCGTCCTGTTGGCTCCAACGAACCAGGACCTGCAGCATGCACTGGGACGGTTTGCAGCCGGGTGTGAAGCGGCTGGGATGAGAATCAGCACCTCCAAATCCGAGGCCATGGTGCTTGACGGGAAAAAGGTGCCTTGCCCTCTTCCGGTGGGTGGAGAGGTCCTTCCTCAAGTGGAGGAGTTCAAGTATCTCGGGGTCTTGTTCACGAGTGAGGGAAGGATGGAGCGTGAGATTGACAGGTGGATTGGTGCAGCGTGCGCAGTGATGCGGTCTCTGTATCGGACCGTTGTGGTAAAGAGGGAGCTGAGCCGAAAGGCGAAGCTCTCGATTTACCGGTCAATCTTTGTTCCCTCCCTCACCTATGGTCATGAGCTGTGGGTAATGACCGAAAGAACGAGATCGCGGATACAAGCGGTTGAAATGAGCTTCCTCCGCAGAGTGGCTGGGCGCTCCCTTAGAGATAGGGTGAGGAGCTCAGTCACACGGGAGGAGCTCGGAGTAGAGCCGCTGCTTCTCCACGTCGAGAGGAACCAGTTGAGGTGGCTCGGGCATCTGTTCGGCATGCCTCCTGGACGCCTTCCTGGGGAGGTGTTCCGGGCACGTCCCACCGGGAGGAGGCCCCGGCGAAGACCCAGGACACGCTGGAGAGACTATGTCTCTCAGCTGGCCTGGGAACGCCTTGGGGTCCCCACGGACGAGCTGGAGGAAGTGTGTGTGGATAGGGAAGTCTGGGCGTCTCTGCTTAGACTGCTGCCCCCGCGACCCGGCAACGGATAAAGCGGAAGAAAATGGATGGATGTTTCTGAACAGAACTAGTTCAGGGAATGTGTTTGGACTGGACTAAGACTGGGTCAAACTGTTGGTTCAAAAAAACTTTGGATTTGACATGGACATGAATTTATGTTTTTAAACCAACACTTTATAATCACTTGTTGGTTTCAAATGTTAGACATAAATAAATGATGGTTGTTGGGGAGTAGCATGCTATGCTAGCTCATACCTCACCTTTAATGCTGCAATATCATGATAGTCATAATTGAAAATCATATCAGGGGCCACTCTGAGGGCCTGGTGGGCCGCATCTGGCTCGGGGGCCTTGGGTTTGCCACGAGTGCCACAGACAGGGAGCTCCCACCCGCCTCATGATCCAGAGGTAGATCCTGACTGACGTATGGAGCGCTCCTGAAGGGAGTGAGATCACCCTCAGCACAGACCTCAGAGCAGCAGCGCGTCACCGCATCACAGCCCACGGCCGAGTCTGGACCCAGAGACCATCTGCTCTGATGGAACCGCTGTGACGGGTCTGGACCCAGAGACCATCTGCTCTGATGGAACCGCTGTGACGGGTCTGGACCCAGAGACCATCTGCTCTGATGGAACCGCTGTGATGGAGGATTATGGGGATAACAGCAGGACTCTGGGGACCACTCTGACCTCACATCACACAGGCGAGGGTCAGGAGAGCACAAGAGAGGGTCAGGAGAGCACAGGAGAGCACAGGAGAGGGTCAGGAGAGCACAGGAGAGGGTCAGGAGAGCACAGGAGAGCACAGGAGAGGGTCAGGAGAGCACAGGAGAGGGTCAGGAGAGCACAGGAGAGCACAGGAGAGGGTCAGGAGAGCACAGGAGAGGGTCAGGAGAGCACAGGAGAGCACAGGAGAGGGTCAGGAGAGCACAAGAGAGGGTCAGGAGAGCACAGGAGAGCACACAGGAGAGGGTCAGGAGAGCACAGGAGAGGGTCAGGAGAGTAGAGGAGAGGGTCAGGAGAGCACAGGAGAGGATCAGGAGAGCACAGCAGAGGGTCAGGAGAGGGTCAGGAGAGCACAGGAGAGGGTCAGGAGAGCACAGGAGAGGGTCAGGAGAGCACAGGAGAGGGTCAGGAGAGCACAGCAGAGGGTCAGGAGAGGGTCAGGAGAGCACAGGAGAGGGTCAGGAGAGCACAGGAGAGGGTCAGGAGAGTAGAGGAGAGGGCCAGGAGAGTAGAGGAGAGGATCAGGAGAGCACAGGAGAGGGTCAGGAGAGCACAGGAGAGGGTCAGGAGAGTAGAGGAGAGGGCCAGGAGAGTAGAGGAGAGGATCAGGAGAGCACAGGAGAGCACAGGAGAGGGTCAGGAGAGCACAGGAGAGGGCTAGGAGAGCACAGGAGAGGGTCAGGAGAGTACAGGAGAGGGCCAGGAGAGTAGAGGAGAGGGTCAGGAGAGCACAGGAGAGGGTCAGGAGAGCACAGGAGAGGATCAGGAGAGCACAGGAGAGGGTCAGGAGAGCACAGGAGAGGGCTAGGAGAGCACAGGAGAGGGTCAGGAGAGTAGAGGAGAGGGTCAGGAGAGTAGAGGAGAGGGTCAGGAGAGTAGAGGAGAGGGTCAGGAGAGCACAGGAGAGGGTCAGGAGAGCACAGGAGAGGGTCAGGAGAGCACAGGAGAGGATCAGGAGAGCACAGGAGAGGGTCAGGAGAGTAGAGGAGAGGGTCAGGAGAGTAGAGGAGAGGGTCAGGAGAGTAGAGGAGAGGGTCAGGAGAGCACAGGAGAGGGTCAGGAGAGCACAGGAGAGGGTCAGGAGAGCACAGGAGAGGGTCAGGAGAGTAGAGGAGAGTAGAGGAGAGGGTCAGGAGAGCACAGGAGAGGGTCAGGAGAGTAGAGGAGAGAGTCAGGAGAGTAGAGGAGAGGGTCAGGAGAGTAGAGGAGAGGGTCAGGAGAGTAGAGGAGAGGGTCAGGAGAGCACAGGAGAGGGCCAGGAGAGCACAGGAGAGGGTCAGGAGAGCACAGGAGAGGATCAGGAGAGCACAGGAGAGGGTCAGGAGAGCACAGGAGAGGATCAGGAGAGTAGAGGAGAGGGTCAGGAGAGTAGAGGAGAGGGTCAGGAGAGTAGAGGAGAGGGTCAGGAGAGCACAGGAGAGGGTCAGGAGAGTACAGGAGAGGGTCAGGAGAGTACAGGAGAGTACAGGAGAGTACAGGAGAGGGCCAGGAGAGCACAGGAGAGGGTCAGGAGAGCACAGGGTCCAGCATGTTAGTCTTCTTGAGTCTTGACGAGAACCAGGAAGTACCACATTAGTCCTGGTCTCAGGTCTCTGCCTCCTGTGGCCACTTCCACGACCACAGATTCACATATGTTGTTTCTGTTCAATAATTTAAATGATTCATACACGTGTCATTCATATTCGTGTCAAAAATCATGACTATTCACACATCATGGTGTTAGCACAATAATCACGCCTCTAAAATAGGACATCATGAATAAGTCATCTTTATAGATACATATTTATTTATATAGCACAGTCCACAGACTGAGGACAAAGCTCTTTACACTGTTTTTGGAGAACAGATATTTTCCCAAAGACTCTCAGTTCCTTCGTGTTATTAGTGTTTGGGGAAACCGGAGCACCTGGAGGAAACATACGCAGACACAGGGAGAACATGCAAACTCCACTCAGAAACTTCTCACAAATTAATGGAATTTGGAATTTGGCTTTTGACTTTTTATATTCAGCAGATGCTAAAACAGTGTGTTGCTATGGTAACTAGCACTTGCTCCAAGCTGATATGGTTCTGAACCAGTCCAGGACTAATCCAGGACCAATCTAGCTTTCCTCTTTACACCCACGCACGCACGCACGCACAGACACACACACACACACAGGCCTCAGGGACCAGTGGTGCTAAAAGCCTTTCTGAAACGTTGTCGTGTAAATACTGATCTGATCCCGAAGGTCGAGGTCCATGAAATAGGAAATATCTCATGTTTAAGAAAAACTCAGGATACTGTCCTCCTTTTTTTATGGCGTCTTCTTTTCTCTCAAAAACGTCTTAACAGGATGGTCCAAAAGTGACTCTTGGTCCTAAGGGGTTGGAAAGGAGGGCGTGTTGTTTGAACCTGTGTCCATCCTTCAAGTGTGCACAGAGCAGGACTTTCTGGAGCAGTTTACTACTTTTTCATCTGAACATTACAAGACTTTCAAATATGTGTCTGAAATGTGATTAAACTGCTTCTGGTTCTGGTTCTGTGTTGGAAACCATCACATAAGGTTAACATTTGCACACACGTGTTGTTGCAGTCTTTAAATGTAGATTCCTCTGAGGTTTTCGGTGCTTAGTCTGAGATAAAAAGTTCCTGAAGCACACGATCAGTTTTATTCTATAAGTATTTACTTTGTCGCTTATGGAGAATGTTCCTTTTCTGCACAGTGTCTTTTAGATGGTTTAGTTCTAAAAGTGCCGGATCAGGAGTGATAGAAAGTGCTGGTACAAAGTACAAAACAGTGGGAAATGTACTAAAGTGAATTTACAGAGCACAAAGAAAAGTCTTCGGGCAAAAAGGATATTTTTCTGATAAAAATAAACATGACTTCTACCATAAGTCTCTATTCCCTCAGCTTTCACTCTCGCTCCTGCTTCCAAGTGTGCACCCTGAAGCCGCGTTCACAAACACAGACCCTAAACTAGAAGTAGTCAATGAATGGGCTTGGGCGCGGCGCGCAGCCACCATGGCACCGGGCGCATCGTCACATGCGCTCCGTGGGACAGCGTGCTCAGGGACGGGCTCACCCCGTCACACAGACCCACAGCAATCCTCTCTCTTGATCCATTTACCTCCTTTGGTTTTACACATTTTCCCAAAACACTAGTAAATATATATTTTCCTACATTCAAAACGTCAGTAACACAAACAAACTCATTTTTTGTCATTTTTTTTGTCTTTTCCTGAATGGAGAACAACTCCAGGTGATATTGAAACATTGTTAAAAAACTAATAGAAACACAATAATATGATGTGTGTCCGAGACTATCTGTAACTGTCCCGTCTACATAAATAAATCCGTCCTATTCCTGCTCCCTGCTGTTGTGCAAATGCAGACAGCGACTTAATATCAAATGGAACTGATTTATGGCTTAATACACAACACAATCAGCCGTGCATCCGACGTACTATTCTCAACAATGAAATATTCATGCAGAGCCAGAGACAGAGATACAGTCGTTATGGAAGCCTCGTAAATCATGTTTTATAAGCACACATTTCATTGGCACTCGCACTGACGATTGTTATTTGGGTTCGCGTCTCGGCTCCTCCGCCTCGTTCATCAAAAGAACTCAGCCAAAAACGTCTGTAGTAGAAGCAGCGGCTCAGAGAAGCAGCGGCTCAGAGAAGCAGCGGCTCAGAGAGCTGCGGCGGGCGCCTCGTGGTGTGGGGACTGTGGCTGTCTTTCCATTACAGTTTTAAGGGTTTGATTTTCAGATGGAGAGTGTGGTTGTTGCTCCTCCCACGGTGCCGACTTCCGGCGCAATGTGACAAACAATAGAAAAAGCAAAGAGTAGGTACTGCCTGAAAGGGTGTTTGGTGTCCTGCTTGATTGGCGGCTTAACAAAGCTGATGTGATTGGCCGAGGAAGGAGGGGGCCTGGTGCAGTGTGAGCAGTCTACCAGTCTGAAGTTTCACTTAAGATTCATTATAGAAACAATGGACGAACAACAAGTGGGAAAAGCAGAGTATAAACACACACACGGTATAGACACACACAGGGTATAAACACACACAGGTATAAACACACACACAGGTATAAACACACACACGGTATAGACACACACAGGGTATAAACACACACAGGTATAAACACACACACGGTATAGACACACACAGGGTATAAACACACACAGGTATAAACACACACACAGGTATAAACACACACACACGGTATAGACACACACAGGTATAAACACACACAGGGTATAAACACACACAGGTATAAACACACACGGTATAGACACACACAGGTATAAACACACACAGGGTATAAACACACACACGGTATAAACACACACAGGTATAAACACACACAGGTATAGACACACACAGGGTATAAACACACACATGTATAAACACACACACAGGTATAAACACACACACAGTATAGACACACACAGGTATAAACACACACATGGTATAAACACACACACGGTATAAACACACACAGGTATAAACACACACAGGGTATAAACACACACAGGTATAAACACACACAGGGTATAAACACACACACGGTATAAACACACACAGGTATAAACACACACAGGTATAGACACACACAGGGTATAAACACACACAGGTATAAACACACACACGGTATAGACACACACAGGTATAAACACACACACGGTATAAACACACACAGGTATAAACACACACAGGGTATAAACAGACACAGGTATAAACACACACACGGTATAGACACACACAGGTATAAACACACACACAGGTATAAACACACACAGGTATAAACACACACAGGTATAAACACACACACGGTATAAACACACACAGGTATAAACACACACAGGTATAAACAGACACAGGTATAAACACACACACGGTATAGACACACACAGGTATAAACACACACACAGGTATAAACACACACAGGTATAAACACACACAGGTATAAACACACACAGGGTATAAACACACATAGGTATAAACACACACAGGGTATAAACACACACAGGGTATAAACACATACAAACACAACATACAAACACAACAGGAACTTTTCGCGGCTAAGTATCACTCTTTTTATGAGTGGAAACAATTTCAACAGGGATCGACAGAACCACGTCTGAGATGATGATTCTGATCAATAATACAATAAATTACAAATGTTACTTTTCACAACATTTGAGGCAAGAAATACGACCATTTATCGTCATTTTGGTGATTTGTTGAGCTGTAAATAACAAAAAGTTCTGACTTAAGCTCCAGGGGGAGCTCAGCAGTCCCAGACCCTGGTCCTCACAGTCCCAGACCCTGGTCCTCACAGTCCCAGACCCTGGTCCTCACAGTCCCAGACCCTGGTCCTCACAGTCCCAAACTCCAGTCCTCACAGTCCCAGACCCTGGTCCTCACAGTCCCAGAACCTGGTTCTCACAATCCCAGACTCCGGTCCTCACAGTCCCAAACTCCGGTCCTCACAGTCCCAAACTCCAGTCCTCACAGTCCTGAGCCTTGCCATGTCACTGAATTGAAGCAAGTTGTTTTCAAAGCTTTAGAGAATCATTAAAAAAACTACTTTTGGCAAATAGCTGTAATGACGTTTAAAGCAGAGAAAACTCAAAGCATAATATGGGACCTTTAAAGAACCAATATCAAGCTAACGCAGGGAAAAGTAATCAAAAAGTCCTCAGGGAGACCTTGTCCTTGCACTTGAAAGTCTATTACTGCACTGAAAAAACATGGCTCTACATCAGCAGCACAGCAGGGGTGTGGGTGGTGGTGGTGGTGATTGTGGTGATTGTGGTGATGGTGGTGATGGTGGTGATTGTGGCAGAGGTGGTGACACTGACAGGATGTAGACATTCAGATAAAATTCCGTCTTTTCTGGGTTTAAACTTTTTCTCTGTGACCTGGAACAAAGCGCAGCGGCTGCTCCCTGACACCAATCTGTGGAGATCTGTCGGGTCACTCACCGCCATCTGTCCTCACGCTCAGTTGGACCTGATCCACTCCGGCACAAACGGGTTAAACCGAGATTCACTTATCACTGTTTTAAAATAGTCTCTTTTCATGAAGCACCTCAAAGTTTCAGGAGGAAAAACAAATATATTTTCACACAGAGATAAAGAAGTCACTGCTCTTTTTGTCACATCAGCAAAAGGATCTGTTCTGCTGATGCCACACAGAGACTGGAATCTGACCCTCTGCTCATGTCTCGCAGAGGAGGTGATGAGGAGGTGATGGTGGTGAAGGAGGAGGTGGAGGTGAGGGAGGATGTGGTGGAGGACGAGGTGGAGAAGGTGAAGGAAGAGGAGGTGGAGGAGGTGTGGGAGGAAGAAGTGGTTAGGAGGTGTTGGAGGTGAGGGAGGAGGAGGTGGTGAGGGAGGAGGAGGAGGTGGTGAGGGAGAAGGAGGAGGTGTTGAGGAAGGAGGTGAGGGGGAGGGAGGAGGGCATGGAGGAGGAGGCAGAGGAGGAGGTGATGGAGGAGTTGAGGGAGGAATTTAGAGAGGAGGTGAGGGAGGAGGAGGTGGAGGAGGTGAGGGAGGAAGAAGTGGTTAGGAGGTGTTGGAGGTGAGGGAGGAGGAGGTGGTGAGGGAGGAGGAGGAGGTGGTGAGGGAGCAGGAGGAGGTGTTGAGGAAGGAGGTGAGGGGGAGGGAGGAGGGCATGGAGGAGGAGGCAGAGGAGGAGGTGATGGAGGAGTTGAGGGAGGAATTTAGAGAGGAGGTGAGGGAGGAGGAGGTGGAGGAGGTGAGGGAGGAAGAGGTGTTGAGGGAGGAGGAGTTGGAGGAGGAGGTGAGGGAGGAGGAGGTGGAGCAGTATAGATTGATGCAATACTCTTTTCACTTTTTGTGAAAACTCTTCTTTGCTTTTCACAGAGATTCTTGAACATTCTTCATTAAATATTCAGTTCTTTTTAAGGATCAATATTGAGCAAAAACAATTTTATAAAAGAGAAGTGTCTGAGGCCAGAGTCACAGCAGAGACTTATTGTTATGTGTTTATCTGATCTGGGTCCTCTGTGTTTGTCTGAGTGAGACCAGACACTGTCAGTCTCTGCTGCGGTGGGAAAACTCAACCACAGCCGCTGTCCACGAACCACAGCCGCTGCCCACGAACCACAGCCGCTGCCCAAGGACCACAGCCGCTGCCCAAGGACCACAGCCACTGCCCACGGACCACAGCCGCTGCCCAAGGACCACAGCCTCTACCCACGAACCACAGCCGCTGCCCAAGGACCACAGCCGCTGCCCAAGGACCACAGCGGTTGCTCACGGTCCACAGCCGCTTTCCAAGGACCACAGCTGCTGCTCACGGACCACAGCCGCTGCCCAAGGACCACAGCCGCTGCCCAAGGACCACAGCGGTTGCTCACGGTCCACAGCCGCTTTCCAAGGACCACAGCCGCTGCCCACGGACCACAGCCGCTGCCCAAGGACCACAGCCGCTGCCCACGAACCACAGCCGCTGCCCAAGGACCACAGCCGCTGCCCAAGGACCACAGCCGCTGCCCAAGGACCACAGCCGCTGCTCACGGTCCACAGCCGCTTTCCAAGGACCACAGCCGCTGCTCACGGACCACAGCCGCTGCCCACGGACCACAGCCGCTGCCCAAGGACCACAGCCGATGCTCACGGTCCACAGCCGCTTTCCAAGGACCACAGCCGCTGCCCACGGACCACAGCCGCTGCCCAAGGACCACAGCCGCTGCCCACGAACCACAGCCGCTGCCCAAGGACCACAGCCGCTGCCCAAGGACCACAGCTGCTGCTCACGGACCACAGCCGCTGCCCAAGGACCACAGCCGCTACCCACGAACCACAGCCGCTGCCCATGAACCACAGCCGCTGCCCAAGGACCACAGCCGCTGCCCAAGGACCACAGCCGCTGCCCAAAGACCACAGCGTCTGCTCACGGTCCACAGCCGCTTTCCAAGGACCACAGCCGCTGCCCACGGACCACAGCCGCTGCCCAAGGACCACAGCGTCTGCTCACGGTCCACAGCCGCTTTCCAAGGACCACAGCCGCTGCTCATGGACCACAGCCGCTGCCCACGGACCACAGCCGCTGCTCATGGACCACAGCCGCTGCTCACGGACCACAGACATGGTGTTTTCTCATGTGAGGCTCGAGCCCAAACTGCAGTTCATGAGTCATTACTGAGGCCAGACTGGATTCATTAAAGAATCTAATTAATGAGGCTTTGTTTGGTCTAAATTAATAGCTTTTTAATCACATGAATATTTGACCTGAAAACACTGAGAAGTGTTGTTGTTTCTCGCAAGGATTTTTAGTCTTTAATCTTTCATCTTTGAGAAATGACTAAATACAGACGCGTAAGCATCAAAATATGTTTTAATTTTGTCATTATGTAGCAGTAGTACCCTTATCTTCTACCGCTCAGTCTCTCTGGGTCTCTACAGTCTCTCTGGGTCTCTACAGTCTCTCTCTGGGTCTCTACAGTCTGTCTCTGGGTCTCTACAGTCTCTCTCTGGGTCTCTACAGTGTCTCTCTGGGTCTCTACAATGTCTCTCTGGGTCTCTACAGTCTCTCTCTGGGTCTCTACAGTCTCTCTCTGGGTCTCTACAGTCTCTCTCTGGGTCTCTACAGTCTCTCTGGGTCTCTACAGTCTCTCTCTGGGTCTCTACAGTCTCTCTCTGGGTCTCTACAGTCTCTCTCTGGGTCTCTACAGTCTGTCCCTGGGTCTCTAGTGTCTCTCTGGGTCTCTACAGTCTCTCTCTGGGTCTCTACAGTCTCTCTGGGTCTCTACAATCTGTCTCTGGGTCTCTACAGTCTGTCTCTGGGTCTCTACAGTCTGTCTCTGGGTCTCTACAGTCTCTCTGGGTCTCTACAGTCTCTCTGGGTCTCTACAGTCTCTCTCTGGGTCTCTACAGTCTGTCTCTGGGTCTCTACAGTGTCTCTGGGTCTCTATAGTCTCTCTCTGGGTCTCTACAGTCTCTGTGGGTCTCTACAGTCTCTCTGGGTCTCTACAGTCTCTCCCTGGGTCTCTACAGTCTCTCTGGGTCTCTACAGTCTCTCTCTGGGTCTCTACAGTCTCTCTGGGTCTCTACTGTCTCTCCCTAGGTCTCTACAGTCTCTCTCTGGGTCTCTACAGTCTCTCTCTGGGTCTCTACAGTCTCTCTCTGGGTCTCTACAGTCTCTCTCTGGGTCTCTACAGTCTCTCTCTGGGTCTCTACAGTCTCTCTCTGGGTCTCTACAGTCTCTCTCTGGGGGTCTCTACAGTCTCTCTCCGGGTCTCTACAGTCTCTCTCTGGGTCTCTACAGTCTCTCTGGGTCTCTACAGTCTCTCTCTGGGTCTCTACAGTCTGTCTCTGGGTCTCTACAGTGTCTCTGGGTCTCTATAGTCTCTCTCTGGGTCTCTACAGTCTCTGTGGGTCTCTACAGTCTCTCTGGGTCTCTACAGTCTCTCCCTGGGTCTCTACAGTCTCTCTGGGTCTCTACAGTCTCTCTCTGGGTCTCTACAGTCTCTCTGGGTCTCTACAGTCTCTCTCTGGGTCTCTACAGTCTCTCTCTGGGTCTCTACAGTCTCTCTCTGGGTCTCTACAGTCTCTCTCTGGGTCTCTACAGTCTCTCTCTGGGTCTCTACAGTCTCTCTCTGGGTCTCTACAGTCTCTCTCTGGGGGTCTCTACAGTCTCTCTCTGGGTCTCTACAGTCTCTCCCTAGGTCTCTACAGTCTCTCTCTGGGTCTCTACAGTCTCTCTCTGGGTCTCTACAGTCTCTCTCTGGGTCTCTACAGTCTCTCTGGGTCTCTACAGTCTCTCTCTGGGTCTCTACAGTCTCTCTCTGGGTCTCTACAGTCTCTCTCTGGGTCTCTACAGTCTCTCTCTGGGGGTCTCTACAGTCTCTCTCTGGGTCTCTACAGTCTCTCTCTGGGTCTCTACAGTCTCTCTGGGTCTCTACAGTCTCTCTCTGGGTCTCTACAGTCTCTCCCTGGGTCTCTACAGTCTCTCTGGGTCTCTACAGTCTCTCTGGGTCTCTACTGTCTCTCCCTAGGTCTCTACAGTCTCTCTCTGGGTCTCTACAGTCTCTCTCTGGGTCTCTACAGTCTCTCTCTGGGTCTCTACAGTCTCTCTACAGTCTCTCTCTGGGTCTCTACAGTCTCTCTCTGGGTCTCTACAGTCTCTCTACAGTCTCTCTCTGGGTCTCTACAGTCTCTCTCTGGGTCTCTACAGTCTCTCTACAGTCTCTCTCTGGGTCTCTACAGTCTCTCTCTGGGTCTCTACAGTCTCTCTCTGGGTCTCTACAGTCTCTCTCTGGGGGTCTCTACAGTCTCTCTCTGGGTCTCTACAGTCTCTCTCTGGGTCTCTACAGTCTCTCTGGGTCTCTACAGTCTCTCTCTGGGTCTCTACAGTCTCTCCCTGGGTCTCTACAGTCTCTCTGGGTCTCTACAGTCTCTCTCTGGGTCTCTACAGTCTCTCTGGGTCTCTACTGTCTCTCCCTAGGTCTCTACAGTCTCTCTCTGGGTCTCTACAGTCTCTCTCTGGGTCTCTACAGTCTCTCTCTGGGTCTCTACAGTCTCTCTACAGTCTCTCTCTGGGTCTCTACAGTCTCTCTCTGGGTCTCTACAGTCTCTCTACAGTCTCTCTCTGGGTCTCTACAGTCTCTCTCTGGGTCTCTACAGTCTCTCTACAGTCTCTCTCTGGGTCTCTACAGTCTCTCTCTGGGTCTCTACAGTCTCTCTCTGGGTCTCTACAGTCTCTCTACAGTCTCTCTCTGGGTCTCTACAGTCTCTCTCTGGGTCTCTACAGTCTCTCTCTGGGTCTCTACAGTCTCTCTCTGGGTCTCTACAGTCTCTCTCTGGGTCTCTACAGTCTCTCTCTGGGTCTCTACAGTCTCTCTCTGGGTCTCTACAGTCTCTCTCTGGGTCTCTACAGTCTCTCTACAGTCTCTCTCTGGGTCTCTACAGTCTCTCTCTGGGTCTCTACAGTCTCTCTCTGGGGGTCTCTACAGTCTCTCTCTGGGTCTCTACAGTCTCTCTCTGGGTCTCTACAGTCTCTCTGGGTCTCTACAGTCTCTCTCTGGGTCTCTACAGTCTCTCCCTGGGTCTCTACAGTCTCTCTGGGTCTCTACAGTCTCTCTCTGGGTCTCTACTGTCTCTCCCTAGGTCTCTACAGTCTCTCTCTGGGTCTCTACAGTCTCTCTCTCTGGGTCTCTACAGTCTCTCTCTGGGTCTCTACAGTCTCTCTCTACAGTCTCTCTCTGGGTCTCTACAGTCTCTCTCTGGGTCTCTACAGTCTCTCTACAGTCTCTCTCTGGGTCTCTACAGTCTCTCTCTGGGTCTCTACAGTCTCTCTACAGTCTCTCTCTGGGTCTCTACAGTCTCTCTCTGGGTCTCTACAGTCTCTCTACAGTCTCTCTCTGGGTCTCTACAGTCTCTCTCTGGGTCTCTACAGTCTCTCTCTGGGTCTCTACAGTCTCTCTCTGGGTCTCTACAGTCTCTCTCTGGGTCTCTACAGTCTCTCTACAGTCTCTCTCTGGGTCTCTACAGTCTCTCTCTGGGTCTCTACAGTCTCTCTCTGGGTCTCTACAGTCTCTCTCTGGGTCTCTACAGTCTCTCTCTGGGTCTCTACAGTCTCTCTCTGGGTCTCTACAGTCTCTCTACAGTCTCTCTCTGGGTCTCTACAGTCTCTCTACAGTCTCTCTCTGGGTCTCTACAGTCTCTCTCTGGGTCTCTACAGTCTCTCTACAGTCTCTCTCTGGGTCTCTACAGTCTCTCTCTGGGTCTCTACAGTCTCTCTCTGGGTCTCTACAGTCTCTCTACAGTCTCTCTCTGGGTCTCTACAGTCTCCTGCCGGTCTCCAGATGGAACACTCCCACATAGTATTTCCGAGGACAGGGTTATTTCAGTCCCAGACTTTGGCGCTGCTTCTGATTGGCTCGAGGAAAATGTGTTTGAAAATAAATATATAGATAAAAGAACTGGTGGAGAAGAAAGACAAGTTTATTTGTTCAGCACAGTTTATACGGAAACAAACCGTGATGAACCAAACCAGAGCCACACATCAACATAAAAAACAATCACAGCTCATGAAAAAGAGTAAAATAAAATCACTGAACCTGGATTTGTCAGAGAAGAAGTCTGTCTCACGTTTTCAGGAAGACTGTTCCAGGTTTTAGCAAAATCTGAAACGCTGCCTCCTCATGTTTAGTCCTGACTCTGGGACCAGCAGGAGGCCAGTCCCTGTGCTCCTCAGAGTCCCAGCAGGAGGCCAGTCCCTGTGCTCCTAAGAGTCCCAGCAGGAGGCCAGTCCCTGTGCTCCTCAGAGTCCCAGCAGGAGGCCAGTCCCTGTGCTCCTAAGAGTCCCAGCAGGAGCCCAGTCCCTGTGCTCCTAAGAGTCCCAGCAGGAGCCCAGTCCCTGTGCTCCTCGGAGACTGTAATGTCTCCAGAGACTGGAAAGTCTATTCTCTGAGCCACAGGAAACAGAGACCTGAGACCAGGACTAATGTGATGGTACTTCCTGGTTCTAGTCAAGTTCTAGTTCTGGTTCTAGAGAAAACTGTTAACTCCCCAAATGAGGAAACCATTAAAGGGTTAAAGCAGTCCCTGGTGCAGTGTGTGGGTCTCTGTACTGGAGCTAGCGTGCGTGCTAACAGCTAGCTGCTCTATGTTTAGCATTGAGGTGATCCTCCAGGTGCTGCGGTGATACATAAACCTGTTCTTATCAATGTTTGTTTTTATAACATTTCCCGCGAGACGAACACGTAAACTCAGATTATTGGTTCATATTCAGTGGGGTTCATTGTTGTCTTCAGGAGGTGTTTCATTATAACAGTTCCACTGGAACACTTTCCCATGAGAAAGGTTCCCCCTTGCAAAATGTGACAAAATGCGTTTAAAAAAAAAACTGTTATTTTTGTGTAATTAATTCATCTTCATTTACACGTTGACGTCCCGGCCTATTACAAACGTCTGAGAGAAAGACAAATGTCCTGTCGGTCCCGCGGTCCCTGAACGCACCGTCAGCCGCTCTCTCTTCTCCAAATGCCACGTTTGTCACGGCGGACACTGTGTAGCATCACTTAGCATCTGAAGAGCACTGTCTGTTTACGACCCCCGACTGTGGCCTTTGCAGAGCAGCGAGCTGATTGGTCAAAGCAG